CCAGTATGCTGGATTGAATCTGCACTCTGCTTTCTAGTCCCAGGCAGCCAATGACTCCGAGAAAAGGGGAACATAGGGCAAACAGCGTTTTGAATAATTGTCCTCAAGCTCACACCCCATGTTGCGAATCACATGCACTTTTCTACTATCCATATCATAGCATCTTATTGTATGGTCCAAATCCGAAACAAAGAATATCAAGTGGCACTCTGGATGAATCGTGATCAGATTATACTGCTGCAGAGGACTAGAACTGATCTTTCCGAGTAACTCCGAAGTCCTGACACTATGTTTGAAGATCCACTCATCACTAGCATAGTCCTCAAGAACATACACTGATAGTCTCAAGTCATGTTCTTCAACCGTATTGAGATAGTACAAGTGCCCTTGAGAGTGTCCAATGAAACCGTCTTCATTGCCGTGCGGCACCGGAATGGTCCTCCTTGAGTTCCCCTCGGTGTCAACCACCAGTACATCTTCATGCCCAGATGCAAACACATGAAGAAAGCCATTGAGAAATACAGTGCTTATAGCATCCCACAAGGTCACATCGTCACTCCATAAACTGTCCCTGTGAGCCCACTGCCCGGTCTCCAACGAGTAGATCTCAAGCCCCTCGACAAAGTAGCCATATAGTACGAGCTCAAACACATGGAAGTTGGGGGAAACGGCCGGGTCGAACCCCAGCCGCGTATCGCAGATGTTACCAGCCTGGCTGGACTCAGGCAGCGCCACCCATTCCTCGGTCGCCGGATTGCAGACGACGTAGCCGTCGCCCGCGTCCGTCGGGCTGCGGCAGAGGAGGAGGCCGTTGCAGCAGTCCAGGAGGGTGATGTCGGCGTGGCCCGGGAGGAAGGACAGGGAGGGGTGGATCAGGGGCGCGCCCCTCCCCGTGATGTTGGTGAAGTGGCGGGCCGACTCGGGGAAGCGCTCGCTGCTGGTGGTGTGGTAGAAGAAACCGGCGAGGGTCTGGGGCAGCTTCTTGCGGTGGTCGGGGTGGGAGATGAGGCCAAGCCAGTGTTTCGACACGCACTTGAAGCGGCAGACCGACTTGACAGGCAGTCGCGAGAGTATCTCCACGATGAGGTCGTCGGTGAGGCAGGTCGCCGTGTTCCTCCTCTCCTTGGAGCACGCCGCCATGTCTGTGGGGAGTGAGGCGCTGCGAGTGGCGGCTGCGGAGTGCGGAGGGGAGAAGAAAGAGGAGACTTTCCCCCGTGTGCCATTATAAAAGATCGTAATCCCCTATGTGCCTCTGGAAAAATTCAGCGGTCTTCAGCGCCACTACTTTAACTTTTTCGGGTCCTCCATGCCACTTCCGTCAGTTCAGGCTCTAACGCCGTTAAAGTGCAGGTGTGAAAAGACGAAAATGCCCTTAAGTTCAAATATGTTATTAATTTTTTTTGAGCATCTTAACGACTTCAAATGAAAAAACTCAAAACTAGAAAGTTGTAGATCTCGTCGAGATCTATAATTTTCATATAAAAATTATTTTCATTTAATTCCGCAAAAATTTCGGAACCAAATCCTTACGTACAAGTGAAGGAATTGTTCTGATCGGTTTATCTGTCCTCCTATGTGGATTTACCAAATACTTATATGCAAGTGAAGGAATTGTTCTGATCAGTTCGGTGTTGTACTGCATCTCTGGGAATCATGATTCACCTAATATCAATTTGTCTCTGAATTTTGTGATATATTGTGCTTATGAGAATCCTGTTATTACTTTGTTTGTCAGTTTTAGGCTTTTACCATGTATCGATTTTGCTAATCTGGAATAAGAAGTGACATTCATCCCCTTGAGGCAATATGATATTGGTGACATGTAAACAAAATATGTTACTGTTTCATTCCTTCCAACTTTTATGATAATGCTCGAGGAAAGCTTAACTATGCCCCTTTTTTCATATAACTGGTGATATTTGTATGCCTAAGGTAAATTTTTCACATGCTCAGCTTAACCTATGACTAGTGAAGGTGGTCACATTAACATTACTATCTTTATGGACTGTCTCTGGGAGCAATGTCGAAGATGTCAAGAAATCCAAATCTGTATCCACTAAAATCTATCCTTAATCGTATCCAATTCTAATATTGATACCCTAATGGATGTATGTATTTGAATTCGATTTTCCTTAGTTTTCTATTTGATTTTAATTCATATATTCGAAAAATATAGATATGGATGGATATTGATACTATATTATTTTTGTATATAATAAAACACATCTATGGACCATGCTATAAATATATCTTTGATTTAGAGCATGTTTGATATGCATGACTAGTTATTAGTTGAGGCTAAAAATTATCCCAAATTAGCTATTGTTGCTAACTAGTTGGCTAACAACTAGTTGAAGATTTGGCACGCCCACTTATTAATACTCTCCTATTTAGATGCATCAGAGCTAATTTTGGTTAATTTTAGCGCTAGAAATTAGCCCTTGTATCAAACATGCCCTTAGCTAGGAATTGATATATTTATTGTAAATTGTTTGTTTATATATTTGTTTATTTATTTATCATTTTATTGATGTAAATATTTTTATATACTTTAGCTTATTTATTTATTGATGTATATTTATATAAATATTATTTTTATAGTTAAATACAAGATATCATAGGAATTCTAGGATATATTATTATGGACAAAACCTAATGATACATGCAACTCTCCCTTTATTGTGAGAAAACAGTGGCAATTGTATTTTAAGCCCCTTGTTGGGTTGACGAAAAAAATGTATTATCCATAGAAATAAAGGATAAAGAGAAACAGGGAAATTTATCGACAATAGGCATTAATGGTAAATACAAATATGAATAAAGTACTTTAAACTGAGTTACTATTTGGATTAGCTAAACTTTTTATAAAGCTGCAATAGCCGAGAGGGAGGCAGCTAATACCGAGTGGTTGAATAGTTCAAGATGAGTAATATAAATTAGACTATTGGCATGCTTGATATCATGGGCTAATTGTTAGCTAGCTAATTTTAGCTTAAATTAGCTCTAGTGCAAGAAGGCTAATAGATGAGCTAATTTATTAGTTAAGTTGTCAACTAGTTGGTAGCCAACTTATTTGGACTAATTTTTAGTTCAATTAGTAACTCGCCATATCTATCAAACATACCCTATAAGTTAGGTTGTTTGGACTAGCTAAGGGTTACTTCATGGCTTCACCTAGAATCTATTGTAAATTAGGATAATATTTGAAGGTATGCATGCCTTATATTTTTAGGATGGAGGTATAATGTAGTACTTTTATTGTTATATGTAGAAAGTGTATAGTATATTTATATTTTATGGTAATGCTCTCTACCGAGCGTCTGGCTGGCCGGACGAACCCGCCTGCCCCCCGGCCCATGGCCTCGTGCCTTGCGCCCCACCCGCGCCTCGTGCCTCGCGTCACGCGCCACTTACACCTCGCGTCTCCCGCTGTGCTCCGCCACACCTCGCGCCTCCCGCCCGGACTTGCGCTGCGCACAGGCGAGGTTCAACCTCCACGTTGTGGCATTGAACTCCGTGCCAGCATCAAGCTCCGCGTAAACGAGCGTCCATTGGAAGGCAGCAAGTAGATGAGCACATGTTGCAACCGTATATTTAATGCGTTTCAGATGTATGTGGCATATGTTTCATTTGAATGTTGCAAAAGTAGATCTGGTGTTGCATATGTTGCAATGACTATACACGTACGTTGCAAGTGTATGTTTCAGCTGTTTCAAACATATGTTGCAAGTGTTTTATCTTGATGTTCACGTATGTTGCATGCGTATGTTTCAAATATTTCATCTATTTCAAATGTATGTTGCAAGTGTTTTATTTGGATGTCACGTATGTTCCCATACACATATGTTGCAAGCGAATGTTGTTAATGTTTTATCTATTTCGGACGTATGTTGCAAGTGTTTTATGAGCAGGCGCGGCAAGGGCGCAGGAGAAGGTGGTCCCCTTGGCATCGGTCCCCACGTGCGCACGAGAAGTGAAGCGGGCACAGGAGCAGGCGATGAGCACAAAGCTGTATCTATGGACGTGGCAGCAGACGTGGAGCATGAAGCTACATCAATGGACGGGCAGTAGGCGTGGAGCACGAAGCTGCATCCATGTGTATGTAGCAGGCACGGAGCACGAGGTGAAGCAGAGCATGAAGCAACATCGGTAGGCGCCCTAAGCGTATCATTATTGAAAACGGACGGGCAACAGGCGCAGACAGACGCCGCATCCGGACATCTTGGCGCTAGTCTCTCCTGATATATTTCAACCTCTCGTTGTATAATTTTGTTTTCCTAAAATTAGTGTTATTGCTGATTGAAATTTAAATAAACAACTAAATTGAATACATATATAAAAATCAAACTCGTCGCTTTCTGTTTATATCTCACTATCATTATATAAACAGAAGGCATGGTTTGTCGACCTTTTTTATCCTTTCGATTTGGATTCGATATGATTGCCGCTTGCCGCTACTCGCCAATCCTAGTCCGAGACCCAACTCGATCGAGGCTGTTAAAGGAAATAACTCAATCTAGGTCATAAAAAAAGGGGAAAATTCCAATCGCCGCCGCCGTCACCGCCTGTTCCTCCCGTTCAACCCCTACAAATACAAATTCCCTCCCTCACATGTTTCTCCAGAATCTCAGGTTCGATTAGCAGATTGATTTCCTAGAGGGTTTAGAGATTAGAGAATAGTGTATCCAGCCATGGAGGCGGCCCGCGACACCAAGAAGAAGCGGATTCTCGCCGTCACGAGCTCCGCCACCACCGCAGCCGGCGGCGGCGTTGGACTGACCGACGACCTCGTCGTCGACATCCTCTCGCGCGTCCCCGTGAAGTCGATCTGCTGCTTCAAGTGCGTCTCCCCGTCGTGGCGCAACCTCATCTCCCACCCCCGACAACCGCAAGAAACTGCCCCAGACGGTCGCGGGCTTCTTCTACTTCGACGAGTTCGATTCATGCAGCTTCGTCAGCCTCGCCGATGCCGAGCCGCCGTGGAGGACAGGAGGAGGAGGATGGGTGCGGCCCCCCTCGCCATGCGATTTCCTGCCCGCGAACACAGGTGGTGGGGTGGTGGACTCCTGCAATGGGCTCGTCCTCTTGAACAACTCCCGCAACTCCGGCTCCGGCTCCGAGCCCCGCCCATCGTATGTCGTCTGCAACCCTGCCACCGAGAAGTGGACTACCGTGCCAGGATCAACCCATGCCGGCAAGATCTGCACTGCCAGCATCCTGTGCTTCGACCCGACCGTCTCCCCGAATTTCCATGTCGTTCAGTTGCTGGACCGGGAGTTCGACGAGGCCGACGAGGAGGAAGACTGGTTTACCGAGGAAAACAAGTTCGAGGGGTTCAACATCTACTCGTCTGAAACTGGGGCCTGTGTTTTCCATCCTCACAACAGCCATTGGTCTCCTGTTGCCCACCGGAGCAGGATGACCTTCTTCAACGGCCAGCTGCATTTCGTCACCGACGATGATGGCGCGGTCGCTGCACTGGACAAGAAAGGGCAGACACGCAGGGTGATTCCTGTCCCGCGGAGTGGAGAGGTCCAGCTCATTGGCCATTCTCAGGGGCGCCTGTTCTACGCGAACAGAGATGCTCGTAACGCCTCCAAGCTGTCGATCTATGTGCTGGGGGAGAACGGCTGCTTGACTCTGAAGCACTGTGTCGACACTTCAGGCATGTTTGCCGGTGAAGAGTATTTGCAGTCTGGGCTGTTGGGGGAAGTGGCCGCCATTCATCCGCACGGCGATTCCATCTTCTTGTTTGATTCGTTGCAGGGAAGGTTGATGTCATATGGTATGGGTAGCCGGCGAGGTCATGTCATCCGCAGTGTCGAAGAATCCCCGCTGTGGTCATTTGTACCGTATGTTCCAGTCTACTTGGAGATGGCAGCACTGGAAAACTCAAAGTAGACGCCTTTACATTTGTATGTGCTCTGTCTGTGATGTCCACAACTGTGGCATGGGCAGCTTCATATTTGTCTGCTACTTGAACAGCAGCCGATGCTATTACAGTTTAGAAGGGTCTTGTCTAATCATCTACTAGCTATTCTGCAGTGAGTTATGCTATCAGAACTGAATTTAGTATGCTTTCTATAATAATTATGGTTATGGATCCATGTAAACTGATGTTCAGCCGATGCTATTACAGTTTAGAAGGTTCTTGTCTAATCATCTTCTAGCTATTCTGCAGTGAGTTATGCTATCAGAACTGAATTTAGTATGCTTTCTATAATAATTATGGTTATGGATCCATGTAAACTGATGTTCAGAGTGGTTACTTAAGTATTTCATCGTTGAAGGGCCTTTGGAGTTCACTAATGGAGCACATGTTTACTCTGCTCTTGTTTCTCTATCTTTATTTGTTAAAAAAAAATCGAATGATGTGTGGTTTCTTAGCCGTTTAAAGACTACTAACTTTTTTCCCTTTGGGCTACTTGGATTTCCCCCCTTCTCTAATCTCTATGTTCTGTCTTTGCTTTAGGTTGGTACCGAGACATGGTACATCTTTTAAGCATAATTTATCTGTTGATATATTATCACACACATAAAATCTATCACTTTTTTAGTCATTGGGTTGAAACTCAATAGTTAGATAATCAACGGAACGCGGCAGCTAACCATAAAACAAAATAGAAAATGGTTGATCTAACAAGAAATTTGTGGAACTGTGGTGTGTAGAATTGGACTTGGATGGACATTATATTGATGCAATGGAATTTAGGAAATAGGTCTCAACATACTATAGCAGCAGCAAGACGATGACATGTAGATCAAGCGACAACTGAAGCATGAGAACAATAGTGGAAGAAGATGACGCGAGAGAAATTCTTTTTTTTTTTTGAAGGAAGGGATACCCCCGCTTTTGTATTACCAAAAGCAAAACATTTAACAGTACTTGCGTATTGGAGCGCCCGCCAACAGAAAAGGCCTTAGGCCAAGGTCTGGATCACAGAAACTAAATTTCCAACATTGCTACTATCACTCAACAACTCTTCAAGCCGAACCAAAGCAACATTTACTGAGACTGAACGCCGAGCATCCAATGGCTCCGACCCTGATGATGATGTTGTCCCGCCCGCCATCCTGCACTGCAGTTGAGGCGGCGAGCAATTCTTGATCTCTAGTCTTCATGCGAACTCCTCCACTTGCATCCCGATATCTTGTTTGAACAACGCCATCCATCTCCTTAGTAGCCTGACAATCCTTAGCAACACCTTTTGCATCCCTGTCCATGAAACACCTTGAAAGTAGATTTCATTTCTTAGCTTCCACACAGACCAAAGCACAGCTGAGGATATGACATTATGCTAGTTTCAGTAGAGAGTTTCATTTCGTTGTTTCCAAGACTGCCATGTCATATAGAATGAAATGAAACTTGAATAAAACACCCACTCTCAATGCAAAGTTTCATTCCATGGTTTCATAGACATTTAATTCTAAGACTTATAGAGAGTTGGAAATCATGCCAAGAGAGTTTCATCCCCATGAAACTCTCTTCTTCTCTCTCTTTATTAAAACACTGTCATGTCATCAAAAATTCATATGTGGCAGGTTATTAAATGCAAATGAAACTCTCGTGAAACTCCCACTGAGATTGCCCTTAGTAGCCTTATGACGTTTGTTAGAAACCCAGAACCGAGCGATCGATTCAAAATCTTTTCCCAAAATCTGACCCAACAATTCTGAAATCACTGACCAAAGATTGATAGCCATGCAACATTCAAAGAAAAGATGAACAATTGACTCCCTTTCATTACAGAAGATACACGTAGGGTCACTAACATCTCTTCATTTGGCTAAATTATCTCTTGTTAACAATTATTGGACAAAAGCCACAGAAAGAATTGCACTCTTGGAGGAATCATATTCTGCCAAATTGAAATAACAAACTGTGGGGTGACCCCTCTACGATTAATCACAGTATATAAAGATTGTACTGTGTACTTACCAGAAGAAGTAAAGTTCCACAATATTTGGTCTTCCTCTTCAGAGAGGGCCATTAGGCTAAGTAATTCCAACCATAAGTTCATAGTACTACTAGACATACTTCTTCTTACCACATGAGATTCTCACCATTCCAAACATCATAAACAATTTTACCTTGCTGTTCACTAATTACATACAAGGGCCAGTAAGCAATAGCTAGGCTAGTATTGCATATCCAATGATCTTTCCAAAATCTGATCTTTCTACCATTGCCTATTACCCATTTGATGCCCATATGAGCTACTTGCATGGCCCAAAGCACTCCCTTCTTCCAAAAAGGTGAGGCTCCCACATTGGGACAGCACAGAATATGAGGTTTATCTGTTTTATATTTGTAATCAACGATTCTTTTCCAAATTGGATTTGAATTTAGCTGATATCTAAATATCCAGGCACATAACAGTGCCGTGTTGAGGCTCCTCATATCTGGATTACCTAGTCCACCAATCTCTTTTGTTAAACTAATTGCCAATTGGCCAAATGGTATTTGTGATGATCCACCATGTCATTCCACAAGAAATGACCCATGTGAGAGTTAATTATGTCAATGGCCTACCTTGGAAATTTAATAACAGATAGCAAATAAATGGGAATGCTTGCTAAGCAAGCTTTGAGCAAGGTTAGCCTTCTTGCATAAGACAGGAGTCTGCCTCTCCAACTAGCTATTCTCTTCATGATTTTATCAATAATTGGTTGCAAATCATTTCTCCTAAGCTTGATGTAGTGTAAAGGCACCCCAAGTATTTTATTGGAAACTCACTTCTTTTACAGCAGAAAATTTTGGCAAAGCAATTTGCATCATCCTCATCTAGGCCAATAGTTAGCAGGTCACTTTTGTCATAGTTAATTTTCATGACCGACATTTGTTCAAAACAAACTAGTAACCACTTCAATGTGCTGGCTTTTTCAAGATTATTTTCTAAAAATAGTAGAGTATCATCAGATACTGTAAGCTGATAATACCTCCATCTATAACTTGAGGGACAAGCCCAATGATCAATTTTGTTTGGCTGCTTTCATAAGCATTATTGAAAAGACATCAGCAACCAAGTCAAACAGGAGGGGAGATAAAGGATCCCCTATCTTAACCCTTTTCTAGGTTTAAAGAAACTACTATTCTCATCATTCATCCTAATACATATAGAGCCGCCCCCCTAACAAATTTTCTAATCCAGCTGATCCACTTTTCACCAAAACCTCTAGATCTAAGCATATCCTCTAGAAAGTGCCAATTAATCTATCATAGGCCTTCTCATAGTCAAGCTTAAGCATGACCCTCTCTTCTTTATTATTATGGACCTCATGAATAATTTCATGTGCAGCTACCACACTCTCCAAGATATATCTGCCTTTTATAAAGACTGTTTGGTTTGAAGCTATCAATCTATCAACTACCCCCACCAACCTATTATTAAGCATTTTAGCAAAAATCTTAAAGCTACAATTAATCAAACTAATAGGTCTAAATTTCGTAAGAGTTTTGGCCTCTGATTCTTTTGGTATAAGGGTAATCATGGCATAGTTAAGCCTATCCAGATTTAGATGCTCTCTACTAAAGCTGTTAACCAGCTGCATCAGCTCCTTTTTTATCACTTCCCAAAAGGTCTCGTAAAAGAGAAAAGAAAAACCATATGGGACAGGGGCCCTTTCTGCACAAGAGCCAAAAACAGCCTCCTTAGCTTCATTCTGTGAAATCAACCTCAGTAGTCCTTTTCTTCCTCCCCCCAAAAATCTTCATCTAATCTAACACCAGTATCCTCTTCCTGCCCAAACAGAGATTTGTAAAAATCTACTGCATGGTCCAACATATTGTCATTATCTTCAATCCAGCCATCTGGGCCTTCCAGGCCTATGATCCTCTTCTTCCTATTGCGCTAATTAGCTACAACCTGAAAGTAGACTGTATTCTTATCTCCCTCTCTAATATTCCTATCTCTAGATCTTTGCTTAGCTTTCATCTCCTCCATCCTCCAAATGGGATCTAACTAACCATCAATGGTCTTCATCCTCTCTTTCTCTCTTAACTCTAGCCATCTCTCTTCCTGATATATCAAACTCCTTAAGGAGTTCCAGTTTTTGTTTCCTAATATTGACATTGATATTGATGGCCCAACCTTTAATTTTTTTCCTAAGTAATCTGATTTTGAACTGCAAGATGTCCATAGGATCATCATAGGCACAAGGGGCACACATTTTTAACTAGGTTTTTGAAATATGGTTGCTCAAGCCACCATTTGTCAAATGTGAACAAACTTGATTTTTTGGGTTCAGTCACTCCAAGGTTCAAAACCAAAGGAACATGGTCACTTCCTACCCTAGCTTTGGCTGTCATAAAGGCTAGTGGGAATTTTTGTTGAAAGTTAACAGTACAAAAAATCTTATCCAAGGCTGGCAAAATAGGCTGGTCTTGGTTATTTGTCCAAGTATAAGACCTATTTGAGTTTTTAAGCTCAATAAGGCCCCATTTATTTATCAGATCTAGAAAACTATCAGCCCATTTTTGATTAACTTGCCCATTATTTTTTCCTTTGCTATAGTTACTATATTATAATCACCCTTTATAACAGTTGGGCCATCCCTCTTAGCTAGGAGCCCCTCTAATTCCCCAAGAAAATCAGCTTTACCTTCCTCATAAGGGGAGCCATACACCACTACTAACCTCCAAACAAAATTATCAAGACAATTCTTAATGATCCCAGCTACACTAAAAGAATCATTCTTCCAGGCAATCACCTCAAACTTTCTCTCATTCAAACCAACCAAGATACCCCCAGCAGTACCATTGGCAGGCAGAACATTCCACGAGAAATCTTTATGTATATAATTAAGGAATGAATCATTAGAGGATTCTTTCGTGGTTTCCTAGAAACACATAAAATCAGGCTTATTGTCATTCATAAAATCAGTTATGCACTGAAGTCGGC